TGCTCACTCTACTCCAGGGGTCCACAACCTAAGGCCCATGGGCCACAAGCAGCCCACAGGGGTCGTTTTACTGGCCCCGAGCTGCCCGCTCAGCGAGTCCCTGCACTAAACCAGCACGGCACAGGGACTCGCTTTTGCGGTGCCGGAAAGCACGCCCGCGATCCAGCCCACGGGGGTGGCTCCGTGGCAGTGAACCAGCCCAGGCAAGGTAAGCCTTGCCGACCCCTGCTCTACTCCCTCTCCCGTTTTCCCCAGGGAGAAAGTACCATATAACAGGCCAACCAATTGGGGTATACTGAATTTGCTCTGTGCCCCCACCCAGTATTGTCTTCTCTCCTTAAAAAGAACAGGCTTAGACCCTGTGTGAGCTCAGGGCTTTATACAAATTATAAAAGCGTTCTTAATCTTTGTACCCCTTGATTGTAAACAAAGAACCTCCAAAGATGATGCAGTCTTTTTTCCCTTTCAGTGTTTTCCTCTCTTATGCCTTCCTTTACATTGTCTGGTACTCTGCTAATCACCAATCTCTCCGAATTTATTTTTACAGATTAAAAATATTTTGTATCATACAGTTAAGGAAATGGTGAGAGCTTTGAAGATTCATGAACATGAACTAGAAGATATGGAGGAAAATTAAGTGTGCACGCTCTCTGTCCTTTTTGGGTCAGAAGAACGTATTTTATCTTTTTTTTTTCTTTATGATAAAAGAAATCTACTCACTAATCTAAGCTGCACGAACCATCAGTGCCAAGAAAATATATTTGTTGTATTTTACTTGCTACTGACGCTGCAACAAACTAGCTTCTCATCACAGCTGTTGTGATTTAAATGAGAGGGTTTTTTTAAAAAAAAGAAATTGGAAATCCTAAGCAGTGCTCTGCTGCTCTGTATTATACTGTAAATGAAATTTTCAAAATGTCAAAGATTTAAGATGTATTTATTTTTTTGGGAAGAAAACATAGAATTCTATGCTCTATTGTTGATCAAATGTAAATGTGATTTGTACAGTTTGGTTAAAATAACTTGGATATTTTTCACTACATTGAGACAGTTACTGTGAGAGTAGGACACAAACACCAGCTATTGCCTGCATTTGGGATATTGCTGAAACCGCACAGCAGTCATGTCATGATCTGAAAATTACTGCCAAATAACTGTAAACTTTGTACAATATAAAGTATATAAAATAGATATTACAGACACTTCAGTATTTTATTGAAGCTATTCAGAGTACAATTAAAACATTTTCAAAAAGGTGTAATTTATTTAAAAATTGTCTCATTTTGGTAAAATTTATGTGAACTTTTAAAGCTAAATATTAAACTTAATATGCTATGTAAATATATACATATATACATTCAATGATGTATTTTTTTAAAACATTGGCTTGCTTTAATTTGTTAAAAGTGCAAGTGTTAAACATGCTTTGTACTTTGAAAGTTGAAAGGGGTTTTACATTTTCCATTAAAAGGACTTTATCAAATGTTGTCTCATTGTGTGTGTTTTTCATGTTTTGTGGCACATTTGTTAAAAATGCACATGTCTGAGTCATTCATTCATTCACAGTGGTTGCAGATGTCTGTAATGTTGACTATTGTAAATGACAGATTGTTGTGTGTTTAATTAGTGTGGATCTTTCTGCCCTCTCCAGGTTTCATATGAAACTGCTCACATGTGCTAGAGCACAGTTCAACTGGCTGAGCCAAAGAAAGTTTATCTAATGAAGAATAAAAAAAAATTAAATCCTTCCTTGTTATGTATTGTCGTTAATTACAGTTCAAATTACCATATTAAAAAACCTGGACTTTTATTATTGGTCAGGAAGATTGCATTTGGCAGACTCATAAAATATGGCAAACTCCTTCACAACTTTTGTGCTAGGAAATGATAGTTATGTAGAATCTTACATTTACAAATAACGATTTAAGAGTTGAAGTCATCACATGCTTTCCCCGCACTGGTGGTATAGTGTATATTTACAATATTTTGTGTACTTCTGAAGCACAGTATCCCAATGACTGTATTTAGAGGTTGATAGGTAATAGTCTTATTCTAAGTTGCCAACAAAATGGGTACACAGCATAACTGAAGTTTGAATCCATGTTAAAATTTACTATCTAATCACTTGAAAATGTTCTACTTTAAATTCCATCTGTAAATTTGATGTGACAAAGTTTTGGCAAGGTTTCAGGCTTCTCTGATAATTGCATCAGTTAGGGGCTAATTATACATTATTGTGGTACATACAGCATGTAGTTGGTCCTCTTAGTCAATAGCCAAAGGAATAAGAATCTTCGCTCTAGCCATATAGCTTTCATGGGGGGAAAGGCTGGAGACTGGAGAGAGACTGCAAATACCCTCTAGTTGCCTGATTAGAACCCTTGTGCCTTTTAGTTGGATCCGTTATTCCTTTGCAGGTAGCAAAACCTTACCTTGACATAACTGGCCTTGAAGGAAAAGAAGGTTACCATCTCTAGATGCGTATGGAAGACTGGACACATCCTGAAGTTTATGTGAGAGATCCTTAATAGTACACATAAGATGTAGATGTGTCTTGGGTGGTTGAAGCTCCACCAAGTGGCTGTGGAGGACATCCCATCCTCCTCTTTAAAGGTAAAGGACCCCTGACAGTTAAGTCCAGTCGCGAACGACTCTGGGGTTGTGGCGCTTATCTCGCTTTACTGGCCAAGGGAGCCGACCTTTGTCCGCAGACATTTTTTCCAGGTCATGTGGCTAGCATGACTAAGCCGCTTCTGGTGAAACCAGAGCAGCACACAGAAACACCATTTACCTTCCCGCCTATTTACCTACTTGCACTTTTTGGTGTGCTTTTGAATTGCTAGGTTGGCAAGAGCTGGGAACGAACAATGGGAGCTCAACCCGTCACGGGGATTCGAACCACCAACCTTCCAATTGGCAAGCTCAGTGGTTTAGACCACAGCGCCACCCACGTCCCACATCCTCCTCTTTAGGCACTTCAATTAGAATGTATAAGAGGTACCAGACAAACACGCTTGAATTTAGTGTGATTTCCTATTGTGTCTAATGAGCAGATGCCATCTGCCCTAGAATATTTGCTTGTTAATTCTCAATATGTAGGGAGGGAGACCTGGAGGTGGGGCAGGACTCCTTCCCGCCTGCCATTTGGACAACCCAGTGTGTCTACACACTTTGCTAGGGGAAGGAGTAGACAGAATGAAATCCTGTTGAGATGCAGAAAATGAAACACTCTCTTTGTATGGAGATGCACTTCAGAGTGTTTTCAAATGGGTACATTGGAGTATAGTGTTTGGATAATTGTGGTTAATACGTTTAGGTAGACCTACTGTGTTGATTTCATGCATTTTATTTATGAAATGATTTTATAATTAAATGCATCATTATGCTCACCCTGTAACAACTGCAATGTTTCCATAGTAACTAATACATTTTAACTAGGAAAGAGAGACCACAAGCAAACAGAATATGGCAAATATTACATGATGGAACCACATGATCAAAAATTTCCTGTTTAGTCTGTTGCATATGTGTTTTCAGCTACAACCTAGGCAGTAGCAAAGGTAAAACACACAAATGCATAAACATGCTGCGGACTTACAAAAATTAGAATTCTAAGGCCCAGTTCAGACATTCATTTATGTGGAAACAATCTTGGTCTGGTGGAGTTGGCAGGTTTACAAGGCGGTCACTTGATATGCTTGATATCTGAAGGCAGCACTGTATAGGGAAGCTTTTTAATGTTTCATGCTTCATTATGTTTTTATATGTGTTGGAATCTGCCCAGAGTGACTGGGGCAACTCAGATGGGTGGGGTACTACTACTACTACTACTATTATTATTATTATTATTATTATTGCTTTAAAATAGGAGGTTGCACAAATTGGACCTTCATATTCCAATCTACATGGTGGAATAATGTGTGCTGTTTTCCCACCACCATATTTTGACTGTCACCACCCAGTTCTTGAGTTTCTGAACTGGGCCCAATATTGGTGTATGAAACTGCCTTGTGGCTACACAACTGTAACTATTAACCTAGGTAAATGCTGAATCATTGAAGCAGCAGAGCTAGAGTTAAAAGAGGATGTTGGACTGTTACCATGTAAAGCAGGGATGGCTGACCTGTGACACTCCAGCTGATAGACTCCCAGCTCCCAACAGCCCCAGCCAGTAAGGCATCAATGGTTAAACTCCTAGGAGTTCAACAACAATCTCTGATCCGTAGTAACTCAACTGCTCATGTAACTCACTTCTCATGTAACTGGTTTAGCTCCCATGCCATATTTTATGCCAGGCTCCAGTTGGTGTTCCTTTGTTTCTGTTTCTAGTAGAAAACAAATGCATATCCAATGACCCTGAAGTCAGCCCATGCCTGATATAAAGTATTGGTTAATCTGTGTATCAAATGATTTAAAGACTGTTTCAAGCACACTATGGCACTCTGCTGTTGATTTAAAAGTGACCAGGTTCTGCTCATGCCTGAAAGGAAGTCACTTCTTGGTCTGTACCCCACCAAGAAACTTTCCATGCATGTACAATGTAAACGATACAGTCAAATATTGAACAGGTTTGAATAACAGTTTAGAATTGATTATAGCAGTTCAGTGTCTCCTAATCTCCGTTGTAAGAGTGAGCTGTGGGTAGCTGGTGCTGAAGAAACAACATTGTCCTTTCCAGTGTACTGAATAAACCGTTTCAAAATCGTCTTTGCTCTTTGTGTTTTAGTGCTCTGGGATGCTTCATTAATTTCTCTCCTAGAGGTAAGTTAGTGGCTGTTTGCCAATATTGTGTTAATAGATTTCTAGCTGAAGACATGAGAAAGATTAGTAAGTCCTTAAACTCTACATGCTGATGGTAATCTATAAACAGGAATTCCATGAATTCCTGGCCCTCACCTGCATTTCATAAATTGTGCTGTGTTCTTCAGACCAGATGGTAATTGTATACACCTGAAAAATGCAGCTCATGCTGGAGTGAACAGTAGTACACTATGACAGTTGCTTCTGATGATTTTAATGCATAAGAGGTACAGCCTGTTCAGTTCCGTGCCTTTCTTTACAGCTGGGATAAGACAGGTGTAGCGGCAGATAGGTGGTACATGAACTTAGTAAACTCTTTCGCCTTCAGCACTCTTCTCCCGTACTTTTTAAAGCAAAGCTGCTTCTCTCTCAACTGTCTCTCCCAATCCTTTTATCTGCTGAAAGTAACATATTCAAATTACATGGATTGTTGCAGTTGTTACGATTTAACACCATATTTCTTCCCAGGAATATGTATTTGTTCATTTTGTGATGAAGTACAGGTGCCACCAATTTTGTTTCCTGTTTGCTTGGATAGCATGACTCATATTTTGGCAAAGTATGTGTCTGCTATACTCATAGATGCTATTTCTGTGGTCCAACTATGACAAGTGGTTGCTGTGGTGAGCAAACAGGCTGAACAGAAATGAATGTCTGGTCCCCCCATTTAAATTGGATAGGTGCAGAGATCTTAAAAATCACACACAACTTCCAGGTTCAGTCTGCAGTGGGTCCATCACAGCAGTGTCCTGATTGCCATCAAAAGATTTCCATCTAGAACTGCAACTCAGAAGCAGCAAAATTGCTTAAATAAGATCTAACTCTGAATGTACAGGGTTGATCATTTTCTAAAACCTTGAACCAACTCCCAGCCCTGGTCCCAGAGACCATGCATTTCACATAGCCAGTTCTCTTATTTTTAGGAAAATGGTAAAAATAATATTGTTCCTGAGGGTTTTTGCCTCTTTAGAACTTGGCTATAGTAGTTGTTTATAGATTAACAGCTGATGTGACTATTTATGTCCAGTCTGCCATAGACTGTAACATTGAATACACATTTCATCCCCTTTATTCTTGTGCTTAGCACTTTTTAACTAAAACTGATGTACAATATATTTGAGAAACTATGAAATAATGTCTGTAGCCATCTCTCACTCCTTCTTCCCTTAACGTTCAAATGAAGGTTTTGTTTGGTTTGTGTGTATTTGTTTAAACGAGTTGAGGCAAATAATGTATTTGATTTATATTTTGTTTGGTTTAAAAAAGAAACTACAGCACTTTTTAAAATTGTTCCAGGAGTCAGTGTGGTACCCTTAGGCACTTACCAAAGGTTTGACAGATGAGTGATAGCAGAACAACTTCCACGAAAAAACTACTATGAAACTTTCAGTATTCTGCACATCTGTAGTGTTAGAAAACACTTACGGTTCATACTGAGAGGCAACAGGTCTTGCTTTATGAACTGAGCTTTGACCTATTATGTAACCCTGAATTTGCAACAGAGAGAATACCCTAGGCCTAGCAGATGTGCAGGGGTTCCCCAAGATAGAAAGGGGGGGGGACTCCTTCACTGTCACACACACACACACACACCCTTAAGAAAAAAATGTAGCAGCAGTGATGGGTGTTCCAGTTTTCACCCTTCAACAGGAATATGGAAGTTCCCTCTCGAGATGAGTTACTCTTGCACAGGGATAGGGATCCTGTGGCTCTCTCCATGTTGTAGGATTCTATCAGTCCTAGCCAAGAAGGCCAAGACCCAGGGATGATGGGTGCTGTAGTCCAACATCATCTGGAGGGCCACTGAATCCCCATCCCCACTCTTATCATTTTCTTATCTTTATGCTCTCAACATTCTGTCAGTCCTGGCTTTTGTTTTCTGCTTGCTCACAGACTTCTGCAACCTTTGGAAAACCTGTCTATAAAAGCCAATACATTATTTTTCATTAGCCTTGTTTAGGTTCCAAACTGATGGGCACTCAACTGTCACAGATTGCTATTGTATCATAGAAGGGACCATGAGAGTCATCTAGTCCAACCCCCTGAAATATAGGAATCTTGTGCCCAATATGGGGCTTGAACCCACAACCATGAGATTAAACTCTCATGCTATTCATTATCCATAGGGCAGTGATGGAATTATGATTGAAGCATCATGGATTTGGTTTCCATTTTGCACATACTACATTGCATACTGGGGATTGAATGCCCATAGAATACTAATATTCCTACAAAATAATAGTAAACCATTTTTATGTGATATGACATAACATTTTGATGTACAGCCAAAGGATGTAATGTTATGGGCCTGCGGTATGTTGAACTTCGTGATTTTAAGTTCAGAACCACTGGAATACTGTGTAAAGAAAACAGCATCATCCAGCAGATGGCACTCTTTGTATAAAAGTTCTAAATTCTTATTCCTAGCTACTAGGAAGTAACATAATATTGCGGGACCAGAATTTATGTGCGGCTTCCTCTCATTTTTGAATAAACAGTTATTCCACCAGAGCTAAAAGATGTTTTTAAAAATGACACAGAAAAGAGGCAAGACTCATTCTTGAACTGTGACCCAAAGGAAAGTGTTTAGATTCAGCTGGAAGTAGTAACCAAAGGAAGCAGTATCAATCAAAAATGCTCAAGTGTGTGGCAAGAAAGCCCGTCATAATCCCCTATCTTGGAGATAGCCAGTGAAATCGACTATTGCACTTCAGGAGCATAGCTAACAGGAGGCATTTGTTACTACTGTTTTAAATGACTGCATCAGAACAGTAATGTAAGATTTAACAACAACCATTAGCTGAAATAGCCTAACCCACCTCACAGGGTTGTTGTGAGGCTAAAATTGGGAGGGGAGAATCATGTACACCACCTTAAGCTCATTGGAGAAAAGGACAGGAGATAAATTTAATAATAATAATAAAATCTTCTGCATTCAAGGGGAACCCTCTAGCCACCAAAAATGGTGGGAGAGCTCTCAGCACTGCTTCCAGATGCAGGCTGGTCCCTGGTGAAGGCAGAAAGCTGTGCTTTAGCTGGGCCACATACAGAATTTTTATAGGTCTAGCAATGACTCAAACACAGTAAGCTGTTAACAGAAAGAGTGGATTCCTAGCCGGAGCCAAACAGGGTGAGTTTTCTTCTCCATTGTGGTCTGCTTTTGGGCTTGCTTGCAATACCTGTATGACTACCATCAAAAGTGGACTAGGTTGACATTTGGTTTGCTACAGCACAAATACTGCTACCGAGAATCGATGCATAGCTTCATTGTTAGAACTCTTGATTAGGTTCCATCACTTATCTGGGTAGTCATGCAACTCTGAGAGTAGAAGAGCATGTACCCAGACATGGAACATTTGGACCTCCATGCAAAGTACCTGCTTCATAAATATCACCCCACCTGAAGCCATTGCACATTTCTGCCCAATGTGCCCATGTCATATTCCTTTTCATGGGTAAAAGGTAAAGGTAAATGACCCCTGGACAGTTAAGTCCAGTCAAAGGCAACTATAGGGTTGCAGCGCTCATCTCGCTTCAGGCCGAGGGTGCTGACGTTTGTCCACAGACAGCTTTCCGGGTCATGTGGCCAGCAAGACCAAACCGCTTCTGGTGCAACAGAATACCATGACGGAAGCCAGAGTACACGAAAATGCCGTTTGCCTTTTATAATGTGGTAGATGAGAATACAATTCCTTAATTGCTTAATTCCATCCCGCCTGCCCCCAGGCTATCACTAGAGTTATAGGAACTGAACCTTAGTACTGTAGCTTCCCAGATCTGAAAGAGATGGTATTCAAGAAAAAGATGCACCCTTTACTTCCTTGGCAATACTTGGAACTGTAATAACTGGCTAGGTAGTATAGTCTCTGTATTGTTTCTAGGCCAGGCAGAAGTCCTTCACCCCAGCTTGCTTAAAGATGCAAATGGCTCCCTCAATGAGTTAGCAACTGCAGCAGCGTCACCCCCTGCCTGCTCAAGGAACATGGGGAACCCAAAGTCCACCAGGTATTACTAGACTACAATTCCCATCATCCCTGCTCACTGGTTATGCAGGTGGGACTCCACAGCTCCCTTTTATGAACTTAACTGCTTCCAATGCTTACTGCTTTGTAAGGAAATGTATCTCAATGAGCAAATACATCACCACAGGTTCCATGCCTGGCCTCTCTGATTAAAAGGAACTCAAATCATAGGACTGAGAGATTGCTGTTAAAGGAAGGTCTTGGAATTTTACTGCAAGTCAGACCTGTGGTCTGACTTAATATTCATCAGCTTTATGTGTTCAAATGAACAAGTAAGATTCAAAACTGACCCAAAACTTTTTATTTTCAGTCAAGTTCTGGCAACTGCCGTTACTTCCATTCATGCATCAAGGATTCTTCTTCGTTGTATTTTGTTTAAAACGATGCCTACTAGTTTCATATACAGAACACGCACATTATTAAGCACCCTGATTATGTAAACAAATCAAAATTTCAATAGAACTAAAATTTGGTTCCTTAAAATAAAAAAAGTAGTAGTAGTAAATTTAGCATCTCTCCTGATTGGCTGATAAAGCATTTTTAAGTCAGGAGTGCGAAGTGTGGCACGTAGATCCATACTGTGGAGGAACAGAAGCAACATCCAATCTATTGACCTGGTTTGCATAATTAAATTAATTGAATGCATGATAGAAACTTTTTTCCCCCACTGCCAAAATGGTCACACTCTGGCCCACACCACTTAGGTTTTGCATTATTTTATGGCATTGAAGAGACATGTTACATATCGCATACTCAAGACCCCTGCAGGATCAAGTTGCTTGAAAGTCTCCCCTCAGTCATTTGGCTTGAAGGTGGGGAGGAAGAGAGAGCTTAGCTTTTACCAACGATGGTAAACAGTCAGCCCTGTTTAACCGATCCAATAGCATGCATATTTTTCACAGTGACAAAGTCACTAAGATATTCTCCCTCAGTAGGGTTGTAGTTGGTGTTTTGTACCTGTGAATCACAACTGTACTGGTGGGTTTCCCTTTTTTGGATTTTGCTGAGCTACAGGTGAACATACATTGTGGTCTCTACTTAGCTGTTCATCAGTCCTTTCAGTATATCCTCCGAGAGCTCCAACAGAGGGAGCTCGGGGGATGGAATGTCCAGAGGCGGAAGGCTGGGTATCGGAATGTCCTTGGCCTTACCGGCATTCGTTGTAAATTTCTGCCAAGTTGAGGCTGACGCGGCAGCAGTTTCCGAATGCTGCTGCAGACCCCACAGCTCTGACTTCTCTACAAAGTCGGCATCGACATCTAGCTCCTTTTCTAGGGGGGATTTCAGGAGTCTGGCCCTCTCAGCTTTTAGCTGCTTGTTCTCTCGCTTCAATCTCTCATTTTCAGCTAAGAGAAAGTCCACGTGCCGTTCTAGAACGGCGATTTTGGTGGCCTGCTCCTCAATTTTTGTCTTGTCGTCCTTGGGGGTTTTGCTTCCAACGCACACTTCCAGTGGCTCCTTTCTTTTCTGAAACAGGAACAGTAGTGTGTCGGGGTCCCTATCCAAGACACCGTGGATTGCCTGTGCATCCTTCTCTGGGGAGGGGCTGTACTTCAGGCTAGCGGGAGCTGCCACATTTTGGTCATCAAATTCCTCAGCTGACGGCTTTGACGAAGCACTATCCTTGTCCACAGCCTGCTGTGTCTTTAGCCTCTCTTCTCTTTTTGCTCTTTTCCATCGCTCTTGGATAAGTAGAATCTGTTTCAGGTGGCTCTCCCTTTGTAATTCCAATGATAACTGGGCCTGTGGAAAAGACAAAAACAAGGGATGAGTTTCTCACCATTAGAGTCACCCTTAATTAGCCTTGGATATAACAAGAGAAATAAGGTTGGTCGAATATCGTCCAATGGTGGTAAAGTGTTTTTAAAGCATTTACTTCATTAGAGAAACAGTATTAAGCATCATTTATGGCACTACATAGATTCTGGTCCTGGAAGGCAGATGCACAGTGCAATCAACTCCAATGAAGCTATTATAGCTTGACAGCAATTGTCAACTATTTTTTACAAACATTTCCTAACATTTTAAACAAAATAATATTAGTAATTCCACAAATCACCTTCTAATGCCAACTATTTTCTAGAACCCTGGCCAGTGAAGGATACAGAAGTGAAACAGCATCTGCATCCTCTTATCACACATCTCTCCCCAACCATTTCTTGCCTTTTCAGAATGTAAGCTGGGGGTAGGGTGGGGTGTCCTAGTCAATTTTATGGTTATAGAGATAATGACTCAATACTAGGCTCGCTCACTGTATTTTGGAGTGTAATCTCACCTGATCCGATTGTGTCAGCTTCATGGCCTCCAAGAGATATGCTGAATAAACCACAAAATGAGAAATGTTTAGGTCACAGAGAAGTCACATTGAGTTTAGGTACAATGATCACTTCACAGACATTATCCAGATATGTACACTGTGATCCCACTATGTGCCTATGACCGTAAATCTACTGCAATATTGATGAAGACAAGATTGACACAACACTCCCCCCCCCCACACAGAGAGACCTTAAAGGGGTTGTGTCAAGGAGCAAGTGATTGGAGAAACACTTTCTTGCAAACAGACCTCTTAAACCTAACATGTACTGCAGTTTGGCAGCCAATGCCCAGTTTTGGCAGTTACTTAGCCACCATGTAAGAGGCTCCACTGCTCTAACGTGGGATATTCAAGAGAGATAATTGCATTATGTCCTTGACTACTGATTTTCTACAACCACCTTGATCTTTATGTATTTTAGTTCCGCGTGCACATGTAGACAATTAACTTTTCTTCTGTATAAGGCTTACACCAACTCCCAAGACAACAAACTTCTGCCCCAGCCAGGACAATCATGCTTTGGCGCTGAATAGATGATTGCTACTAAGGCGTACTTCGAGGACAGTGTTTTCACACAAGCTATACAATGCTCTTTTTGTTAAATACGCACCTGCTGCCTTTTTGTGACAAGAAATTGCTTCTTCGTACTTCCCCGCTGTCAGCAAACGGTCAGCTTTCCTGCTCTGCTGATGAGCCTTCAAAAGAAAAACAAACTTTTTAATTATTGGCATTTTTTACTATTATTTAAACATCTCTAGTTACTTCAAACTTTTGCATGAAACGGACATGTAGATACACAAAAGGCAGGCAATGCAACAGAAACGTCAGCTGTCTCAGGTTCTGTGTAAGATAGCTTGGCCCCTCAGTATAGAATTATCATAAAGCTGATTGCTTAGGTCAAGTTTGCTTCTGTGATAGCCTTAGGTATTTTCACACCTGCATGCATAACAACAGTGCTGATGTACACACACTAGATTGCAGTTCATGTATTTTAAAAAATGTTAGACAGTGAGCAAACGAAAATGGTGTGTCTGGCCTCATTTAGACATAGGGTGTGTGTATTGCATCTGACTGCCACATGCAGTTTGAGCCCTGAAGTGAATCATTAGCTGAAGCTTCTTCTTCCTTCATCTGATTCTTCCTCTTTCACATTTCTAAGCTAAGAATTAATAATCGCCTAGAGGATAATAAAAAGGCACTAAGGTTCAGTGGAAAGGGCTGCATACTGAGCAACTCTGAGGAATGCAGCTCTGACCAATAGCACACCAGCTATTTCTCCAGTAACAATCAAATAGTGCAGTTATAAGGGGAAAATACAGCCAATTTAAACATACATTTCTGCTTGAAAATTACAAAAAATAATAATATGTATAGTCAGTCACAGGCATGATTTAATTACAAAACACTTCAGTGTTACTACAGCCTGATCCTTTCTTTTTCTGAGGAAAGAGAAGTGCAAGACAAGTGAGTGTATTTGTTGATGAGTGAATGCTAAGACCCTTTGTGAGATGCACATTCTAATGTCATGGTAGCTAGAGGAATCAATTTGAGTCTCAAGAAAGACAGGCTGCTATGGGAACAGAAAACATCAGCATGTAACTTTGTCAGAAGAGAAACAGGAGATATTGAATTGAATTTATTATTTCGGTCATAGAACAGTTCCAGCAACAGGAGATATTATTCTTAGGTGGGTTTTTTGTGGGTTGATTTTCTTTTCTTTTTTTTTAGAGGCAGGCCCTGAATACAGTTTGTGCAGCTGTTCTGTCCCTCTCCTTGCCACATACGGTGTTAGGGAATTTCTGGCAGCAAACACAGGAGTTGATGTTGGCAGATTCCAGCAGCAGAAAGTACCTGGCTCTCCTTCACAACCAAGCAGACATCCCAGTCAAAGCACACTAAGACAGCTGCTCTGCAACAGGTACGAGAAGAACTAAAAAAATAGAGCAGCAAGAACAGTAACTGACACTTTGCAAGAAAAAAATTGAGGATTTCCTTTGAAATCATGCTGCCAAGGACTACAAAGTTTGATGATGCGGTGAGACAAGCTAGCAGATTTACAACAGGGATAAAATGAATATGAGATAAGGGATGCTGTTTAGTAGCAGCATGCTATTGCTGACAAAAAATACATAGATCTGAAAGAGATCATGGATGTCCTTTAGTTAATAGATTGCACCTAGATTGTGAATATACTGAGTTTATGTGAGAGATGCATTTACTGTTCTTGGCCTATTCTTACATAATATATAAACAGAATAATTATTTTGGGTGGGATGCAACTAAGTTTTACTCAGAGTAGCCCACTGGCCTTGCTGGCTGGGGCTGATGGGATTTGGGAGCCAAACAACCTCTGGAAGGCCACAGGTTCCCTCTGGCTTAGTCCTTGTTGCCTTGTTCCTAGGCTCACTGTTCCTCCTCAAGAGCATGGTGTTTCCAAAATAATCCAGACCCATCCAGGACAACCCCAAGACTCTCAGTGTTCCAAAGACTGCCTGAAAGGTGCTAGGCTGCTCGTAGTCTTGCACATCACATGCCAAGACTGCATTCTGCAAAGAAGTAGTGTTACTGAGCCACCTTGTACTCTCATGCCATGTTGGAACCATTTACTCATGTAGAAGGATTTCCTATTCAACACCCCTACAAATGGCTGCAGAAATAAAGAACGTGAATGGTAGTTTTACCACATCAAAAATATGAAATAGTGCCACATTTGGACTGCACATATGAGGGTTTACATACCTGTAAAACCCCATGCCTTGGGATAGTCCAATCTATGCTGTGAACCACCCTGAGATCTGTGGATGAAGGGCAGTATACTACTACTACTACTACTACTACTACTAATAATAATAATAATAATACCAACCGAAAGAGGCTGGCTGGCTTAAAACTATGCCCTACCCACTGGCCCTCTAGCTGCCCAAGCAAACAATAAACTTTGCATTTGCCATTTTGATCACCTGAGCTTCAGTTGAGCCACATATGCTTTGCATTTGCCAAACTTGTTTTCTGTTTTGAAGGAACTTTGTTATTGCATGCCTCTTTCCATGAATCATGTGTTGCTGCCCTCATTGCGTCATCACATCCTGATTCTGTTTAGATAGCAAACTCTTCATGATTTGGACAATGGGTGGCACTTTAACCTGGCTCTTGACTTTGCCCTTAGATAGATGCCCTCTTTCTACATGATTCAAAAGTAACTTGTGGTCTTGTAGTTCTTTTATGACTCTTTTGTGACTTATTCATACAAATTGTGGCTAAATATTTATGCTTCTTTAATCTCGCAAGCTTTTTAGATATGGTGCTAAAGCAAAGGAAAGAGAAATGCCACAACTTGTACTGATTACCATAGAACTGAATGGAGGGAAGCAATTCTATTGCTCCTTCATGTTATTACTACTTTTCCTTGACAAGCTACCACCTATTTTAGTCCACATCTTCTTAAACCTAAAAAGAGACACTGAACTCTGCAGATTGCATATGGTTTTGCTGGTCTACAGCCAAAGTTGTAGTTGGACTGAAGCCCAAGTATTTTGTGAAGCTTCTGAAGCAAGCATACTTAAATCAGCACTAGATGGCAACTGGCTCCATCTATCACAGCAGGCTCACATATAAAGCAAATGTGTTTTGCATTCCTGGCCATGCTGTCAAATTTGCTGACAGTTTAATAACCCTTCCAAGCCAGCAACATTTTGTTGTAAGCCCAATAAAACTACTCAGTACTAGTGGGCATCCAGATGTAATCTATTACTTCTAACAGTCGGTTCTATTTATTTCCTCTAGGCACTGAACCTGAGGGCTGCATTGCACACAACTTTCATACTAATGTAGGAGAAACTTATATCTATGTACACTGTAAAGTGTGAAGACTGTAGTCATCTATTTAACAATAGACACTCATCTATTTAACAACAGACAATACACACCAGCCTGCTTAAGCCCAGTAAATTGATTTGTGGATTCTGTAAGATTTGAATGGGGTACCTTTAGCTTATAGCCACTATACTATACCAGTGCAGTAAGAATCACCCAGGACACGGGTGGCGCTGTGGTTTAAACCATTATGCCGCTTGGACTTGCCGATCGGAAGGTCGGCAGTTTGAATCCCCGCGATGGGGTGAGCTCCCATTGCTCAGTCCCAGCTCCTGTCAACCTAGCAGTTCGAAAGCACGTCAAAGTGCAAGTAGATAAATAGGTACCGCTCCAGCAGGAAGGTAAACGGTGTTTCCGTGCACTGCTCTGGTTCACCAGAAGGGGCTTAGTCATGCTGGCCACATGACCCGGAAAAACTGTCTGTGGAAGCGGACAAACGGCGGCTCCCGCAGCCTGTAAAGCGAGATGAGCGCCACAACCCCCGAGTCGTTCGCGACTGGACTTAACTGTCAGGGGTCCCTTTACCTTTACTTTTAAATCATACAAATTCTGAATTGCATGTGGTACAGATTTTCTAAACACAGTACTTTGACTTTTCAGCAATGCTGATCAAATACCAACCATGTAACAAAGGGAGAAGAGCTGCTTCACACCTAATTATTTTTCATACAGAGATGTAGGAAAGGTATTAGGATACACTTCTGTAAAGACAACTGCCACACATTTTGCTGTGTGGTACATGAAGTAGAGTTCAGTTCAATGCATTAAAGCAAACTGTTCTCTCTAGTGTTTTCTATTTCTATTCAGTGTCCAGCACACAAAAAGATGGTTGATAAATAGTGGCAAAGGTGACCATCTCTTCACCTCTATAACAAGCAGATAACAAATCTGATCTCTTTTGACAGGGCTGTTGCAAAGGTAACACAGGTGACTCAGCTTACGCTGGGGTTACTTTCCAGAGGTGGCGCCTAAAGCAAAATTGTGTATGGTCTAAACACAATGGGTTCAATGGCAGGTGGGAATTCTAAAGTTTTTCCCCCAGTCCCCTTTCCATTATTTTTATTTGCCAAGCACATTAAGCTGAATGCGAACTAGTTAAATTCACATTAGTTGTGAGTTACCTGTATATGTGGAGCACTTTAAATGCTCAAAAGCATCTTTTAAGTATTTGTGTACACCTATATTCATCCACAGATGGTGCATCTTACTATGCACCAGGACCAAACCTGGCCTTCTGAAAGCACTGCCTCCTCGCAGTTGCCAACCAAAAAGCAACTGTGTCTATGGCAAGGTTACCAGATGTCGGGACAGTCCCCGGATTTACAAATCAGTCCCCATACAAAATCCACTGAAGTTGAAAAATGTCCCCAGATTCATTGAAAAAAATCTGGTAACCTTAGCTATGGTGGCTAAACTCAGCGGCAGGGAACTTCAGGAGGGTTGGGATTTTAGCCCATTGCAAATCCTTCTTAAAGTAGTCCTCTAGTAAAATCTGGTCCAACTAGATCAGCACTGCAAGGGTGCCTTTAACATAGCAGATGGTTCCCACAAGCCCTTGCCCATTATTTGCCCACAGCATCTAGTATTCAGTACACATCTATTTAACTATGATGTCTAAATTAGCTACTGACTGCAAAAAGGCGTGTACATGAAACCTGGATTTTCTACAAATCAACCTGCAGGAACCTGAGGCCCTCCAGATGCTGTGGGACTCCAACTGCATTAACCCCTTACCACTGGACATGCTGGCTGGGGCTGAGAGGAGATACAATCTATGGAGGGCCTCATCCCTTGTTTGGAAGAATAGAAGTTTCATACAAACTGATAAAAATAGAAGTGTCATACAAACATTGACCTGGAATAGCTCAGTCATAGAATCACAAAACTGTAGAGTTGGAAGGGACCAGAGGGTCATCCAGCCCGACACCCTGCAATGCAAGAATATCGACCCTGCCCTCCCCCATCCATTTCAAAGCCATACTGGACCCTGGTTGGCTTTGCAAATGTGCTAGCAGTCTTACTGCTGTGCCGTTTGGTAGAGTACCGCAATCTTAATCTCAGGGTTGTGGGCTCGAGTCCCACATCAGGTGAACGATTCCTGTACTGCGGGGGGGGGGGGGGCTGGACAAGATGACCTGCATGGTCCCTTCCACCAATCCAATGAGCCTATGATTAGGAAGGCAGAAGTAGGTAGAGGTCCTCTTGGGAGTAATTCCCTGCACTCAGCGGCTAATAGAACCACGTAACAGGAAGTCCTCAGCGTCAGCTCTCGCTTGTCCAGAAAGGGCCAGGAATGCGCCTCCTTCGACCATTTCCACCCCCGAAATGGGGTGTGCGGGGTGTTGCAGTTATTGTCGTTATTATTATAATTACTAGGTGTTGACATTATTAATTATTATTGCTATTATTATTGTTGTTATTATTAACAGCCTAACTTACAGGGTTGGTGGTGACTTTTACCACACGGTAACATCCATAAAGGGTCGGACACACTGCCTTCTCCCCCCCCCCCCCGCCCCGGTTATCTATCCTTCGCCCATCCGGCCCGCCAGAAGGAAGCGCGAATCCGGCCGGCCACGTCAGCTGGCCAGCGCGGAGCCCACACTCGGCTCGGCGCCACTCACCAGGTTGAGCGGGCCCTCCATCACCTCCATGGGCGGCTGAGGGCACATGGGCGCTGAGGCGGCCTCTTCGCCGCTCCGGCCCGAGCGCCCTTAGCGCGGCCCCGACGGCAACCAGCCCGCTTGTAAACACCGCGACGCCGAGGCGCTTCCGCCCCGCGCGCCCGCAGTGACGTCAGCGCGCACCACGCCAGCAGGCGAGGCCGCTTCACCACGCCCGCTCTCTCGCGCGGCCGCCAGTTCACGTCCGGACGCCCCGCGAGATGACCGGCCGTCTCCTTGGTAACCGGCGTCCAACGGTTTTCCCTCACAAAGGCGACTCGCTGGCCTTGAACCGCCGCCGGCCGGCTGCGGTAGCCGCTAAGGGCTGGGGCCGCTGACTCAGTGCTGCGACCTCCCGCCTCCGCTTTCCCCGCAGCGCCTCAAAACACCCCGGCGGTTTCCACAGGCCGAAGGTTAGGCACGAAGCGAAGTTCGCCGATTCCAGGCCGCTCGTCCGTTGAGCTCGGTGTCGCCGCTCTGACTGGCAGCCGCTGCCCCGAGCTGCCCGGGGTTGAGCCTGGTCGCTTCCTGTGGCTAATAAAAACAAAAAATCCTCAACAGGCTAAAAACTCGAGAGAAGGAGAGAGAGAGAGCAGGCTGTACTTCTAGAGCACCTTCCCCTCCCCAAGAAGCCTGGGAAATGTAGTTTGTTAAAAGGTGCTGGGAACTGTAGCTCCGTGGGGAGTAAACGACAGTTTCCATGACTCTTGGGTGAGCGGGAAGAGTGCTTTGAATGCGCTTTATGTGCATCATTTATAGTAGCAGGTCATGTCAAGATGTGAACTGTGAAACCAATGCCACTGTAAATAGATAAAAGTAAAGGGACTCCTGACCCAGTCGTGACCAATTCTGGGGTTGCGGTGCTCATCTCGCTTTATTGGCCAAGGGAGCCGGTGTACAGCTTCCGGGTCATGTGGCAAGCATGACTGAGCCGCCGTTTACCCTCCCACCAGAGCGGTACCTATTTATCTACTTGCACTTTGATGTGCTTTCGAACTGCTAGGTTGGCAGGAGCTGGGACCGAGCAATGGGAGCTCACCCTGTCACGGGGATTCGAACCGCTGACCTTCTGATCGGCAAGTCCTTTAATTCCTGTGCTTCGGATGAGGTATGGATACCCGGGTGAGATTTTAGTGAAGCCAGAGCCGTGGGATGCTTCAATGAGATTTTAAAGATCTAGTAACATGCACAGTTGGGTGTGCAAATGTTACTTTCTGCGACTTCTAGGATAATGATGCTTTGAATTAAAGTTTGAGAATTCAGTGAGGTAACAATCATTTTGCTTTCTGTCACATCTTACTGGACTGAAACACCCATCATCCCTGACTATTCACCATGCTGGCTGAGGCTGATGGCAGTTGGAGTCCAGCAACCTCTACAGGGCCAGTTGGTTGCTTAGCTGATCAACTGATGATGACCGCAGCCATATTTATTTTGAGGCTGTTTTGTTTCTGGTCTATTAATGTGAAAGGGATTGGTTTTTTATTGTTGCATCATAAGTTAATTCAACAAAGAGCATAGAACCTTAAAGATGAACACATTTATTATGGTTTAAAATTTTTATAGGCTAGATTCCACTTATCAGATGCATGAAATCCCAGGTGACAGGTGTACGTATGTGAGATACACACCTCCACCATCAGAGCAATATAGGTCAGCAGGGCTTCTCATCTGATTAGCCACAGGGAGAACAGGATAATGGACTATATGGACCACTGGTCTGATCCAGCAAGTTCTCATGTCACACAGAAAAACATGGATGTAGAGTAAAAAATGTAAACAGTGAGGTCAGGTGGAAGCAAAATGGGGGGTGGGGAAAACTGCCTTTGACAATTATATTACCATAAAGGTAAAGGGACCCCTGACCATTAGGTCCAGTCGTGGCTGACTCTGGGGTTGCGGCGCTTATCTCGCTTTATTGGCCAAGGGAGCCAGCATACAGCTTCCGGGTCATGTGGCCAGCATGACTAAGCAGCTTCTGGCGAGCCAGAGCAGCGCACGGAAACATCGTTTACCTTCCCGCCAGAGCAGTACCTATTTATCTACTTGCACTTTGACCTGCTTTCGAACTGCTAGGTTGGCAGGAGCTGGGACCGAACAATGGGAGCTCACCCCGTCACAGGGATTCGAACCGCCGCCCTTCTGATCAGCAAGCCCTAAGGTATGCTAAAAGATTTTGGTGTTGCTGCAACAACCTTTCACAGTGACCGTCAGGTAATTGTCATATGTTACACTTCTTTCAATTTTTTAAAAGCATTTTTGTGGACAAATAAATGCAAATCATTGGTAAAAGGTAGGTAACTAATCAACAAAACATTCTTTACTTGGTTAACAGAGTTACTTTTAAAATAAAATAACAAACACTCTGGAACTGTATTCTGTGCTTGCCACAAAGTACAGGAAACATCAGAGGCAGATATAATGTGAATAAACTGCATGTGTGGTTTTCCCCATGGTTTCTTTTGCCTTTTAATCGAAACCAGCGAGAGGCTGCAGGTTTAAGTAGAGGACAGCAAAAGGAAGGCCTACTTAAACATTCCCGCCCCCACCCCAATATAAAACACAAACATCCTGAGCTGCTCTTCTCCAAATGGGCAGAAAAGGTATGAGTTCTATGACAACATCTTTCAGACAGGTTCATCCAATACATAATGGCTATTTGCCCTAACCATTTTGAAACAGTACTCATATCTTTCTGCTATCCTCTACAGCAGTGTTTTTCAACCTTTTTTGGGCAAAGGCACACTTGTTTCATGAAAAAAATCACGAGGCACACCACCATTAGAAAATGTTAAAAAATTTAACTCTGTGCCTATATTAACTATATATAAAGTAATTCTCTTGAATAAGAATCAAATAAACACAAAGAAAGTATTTTATAATTACTTTATTATGAAATAATAAGTAAACAGAAATATGAAAAATTATAAAATACTTTATTCAGTGCGCAACCTGGGCCTGTTTGGCTGAACACAAAGCTGATATTCTGGCTGGAATCGAAGAAAGACACACACGTAGCTCTTCGTCAACAGCTCTCAGTCTCTCTCTGTATTTAGTTTTTATAGCAATCATGCTTGAAAAGCTCATCTCACACAGATATGTAGTGGAAAATGGGAGCAATGTCAAAATAGCTTTGTTTGCCAGAAGGGGAACTCCTTGGCAGTATCCAACCAAAAACTGTCCAAAGGTAGATCAGCAAATCTTAGCTTGAAACCACGATTTTGTCTCAGTTCAGTTAGTTCCTCCTGCTCCTGTAAAGTCATGTCCTTTCCACCAACTGATGCTGAGCTATAAGGGTCCCTAACCCAGTCAAGGCATTCAGTGGAGACTGAAGAGAAATAAAACGACAACTTCTCCGGTCCTCCTGGTGACTCGAGTCGCGACGTCGTCTTCTCTCCGCTGCTGCGCACGCTGTGCTCGGGCGGGAAGGAAGTCAGAAGATGATGTCCTACTGTGATAGGTCCAGGCTGGAGTCTGGACCAATCACAGCCCGGACATCAGAAAAGTGGAGGGTGTCCCCCTGAGGAGAGGCCAATCGGCGCCCCTGCTGGCCGAGGGTGGGGTCAAAAACCCCACCCATACCCAGGACACAGTCCGGCGCTCGCCTAGGGGGCGAAAATTTGATTTATTTATTTTTTTATCTTTCGAAATTTTCAATTTTTCCCACGGCACACTAGTTGAAAAACACTGCTCTACAGAGTACACATGGGAGAGGCAGGAAGAAGATAGTATAAGTGTTTAGGAATTCCCAATTAAGCAATTTAGTACTTACATTACCATTGATATATTTGAACTTGTGTAGTTTGTAATCCTATCCTCTAGGTGTCTTCAGTGACCAGCATTCCTTAAAAGACAAAATGACTGTATGAAATAATGACTATTGTAACTGCAAGCTATATTCCAATTGGTATGAACAAGTTTTCATTTGGATCCCTTCCAATCGGGATTCAGGCCTCACCATGGGACTGAAACTGCCTTGGTCGCTTGTTGATGATCTCCGGCAGGCTAGGGACAAAGGTGAGAGCTGTTTCCTATTTCTGCTGGATCTCTCAGCGGCCTTTGACACCATCAACCATAACATCCTTCTGGACCGTCTAGAGGGGCTGGGAGCTGGGGGCACTGTTATACTGTGGTTCTGCTCCTTTCTCCTGGGCCGTGTCCAGAAAGTGGTGTTGGGGGATGAGTGTTCAGACCCCTGGGCTCTCACTTGTGGGGTGCTTCAGGGTTCCATCCTCTCCCCCATGCTTTTTAATATCTATATGAAGCCGCTGGGAGAGATCATCGGGGGTTTGAGCTGGGTGTTCATCAGTATGCAGATGACACCCAGCTCTACCTCTCCTTTAAATCGGAACCAGTGAAGGCGGTGAAGGTCCTGTGTGAATGCCTGGAGGCGGTTGGAGGCTGGATGGCGGCTAACAGATTGAGGTTGAATCCTGACAAGACAGAAATACTATTTTGGGTGGGCAGGGGTGGGGGATTCCATGGTCCTGAATGGGGTAACTATGCCCCTGAAGGACCAGGTGCGCAGCCTGGGAGTCATTTTGGACTCACAGCTGTCCATAGAGGCACAGGTTAATTCTGTGTCCAGGGCAGCTGTCTACCAGCTCCACCTGGTACGCAGGCTAAGACCCTACCTGCCCACAGACTGTCTCGCCAGAGTGGTGCATACTCTAGTTATCTCCCGCTTGGACTACTGCAATGCGCTCTACATGGGGCTACCTTTGAAGGTGACCCGGAAACTGCAATTAACCCAGAATATGGCAGCTAGACTGGTGACTGGGAGTGGCCGCCAGGACCACATAACACCGGTCCTGAGAGATCTGCATTGGCTCCCAGTATGTTTCCGAGCACAATTCAAAGTGTTGGTACTGACCTTTAAAGCCCTAAACGGCCTCGGCCCTGTATACCTGAAGGAGCGTCTTCACCCCCATCGTTCAGCCCTGACACTGAGATCCAGTGCCGAGAGCCTTCTGGCGGTTCCCTCATTGCGAGAAGTGAGGTTACAGGGAACCAGACAGAGGGCCTTCTCGGTAGTGGCGCCCGCCCACCCTGTGGTACACCCTCCCTTCAGATGTGAAGGAAATAAGCAGCTATCCTATCTTTAAAAGACATCTGAAGGCAGCCCTGTTTAGGGAAGTTTTTAATATTTAATGCTATACTGTTTTTAACACTTGATTGGGAGCTGCCCAGAGTGGCTGGGGAAACTCAGCCAGATGGGCAGGGTATAAATTATTATTATTATTATTATTAATATTTTTATTATTAATAGAATATTATTCTATTCTATTCTATTCTATTCTATTATTAATAGAAAACATACATATTCACAACAAAAGAAAATACATCTAACCAAGGAAAAAGAATTAGAGAATATTTTGTCTCTTTTCATATTTACAGTTATTTATACCACTATAAAATGCTATTCACAATAAAGCAGTGAAATGAAAGATAAGATATCAGAAAAAAGAACAAAGAAAGAATAAAGAAGTAAAAGAAAAAGATCATAAGTGAAAAATTTTAAAAGTAGATAAGTACTCACAATACATAGCCGCTTCCCATCTATATTTATATTCAATTGTATTATTTCATCTTGTCCTTATCTACCTTAAATAAATTGGTTTAAAAAAAAAAAAAGACTTCCACTGTTTACCTCACGTGTTTTTAATAATCCGTTCGTCAGAACCTCTGTTCTTCATATTTTCCCTTTGGATTTCCTTAATGTCTCACTTGGTATTTTTTATATTACGCACAAGATTATTCTAAACACAACCAGATTTTTGTAGTTGAGCCCTGGTTTTGTAAATAATCATTTAAGAACTCCCATTGCTTCATAACCATAGTTTTGGATTTTCTCCTTATTATATCCGTCAATTTTGCTAATTCCAGGTGCTCGCAAAGTTTCCCCAACCATTCTCTTTTTGTTGGGATGCTGTCTTCTTTCCAATAGCTAGCAATCAAAATTTTTGCTGCTGTTGTCGCGTATAGAAATAAGTTAGTTTTATCTTTTGGGATATCTTTATCTAGAATTCCTAATAGATATGCCTCTGCCTTTTTTGTGTGTGATGTCCTTATCAATTTTTTTATTTCGTCATGGATCATGTCCCAAAAGATTTTAATCTTTGGGCAAGTCCACCACATGTGGTATAACGTACCTTTTGTTCTGTTACATTTCCAACATTTGTCGTTGTTCCTTTTATTTATTTTTGACAATCTGTCAAGGGTTAGGTACCATCTGTGGTGAATTTTTCTGAAATTCTCCCTTAATAAATCACACGCAGTAAAATTTATGTTTTCCTCCCAAAAAGTTTTCCATCTTTCCAGATCTATCTCATATCCCAAATCGTGCTCCCATTTTAACATGTTTTCCCCTTTCGTCTCTTGTTCTAAGGTGGTTTTCATTAATAATCTATACATTTTTGCAAGTATTTTTTGATCGCTTTGCAATATTTCCTTTTCTAATTTTGAGGTTTTATTTTCAAATTCCCCCCTTTTTATGTCTTTTTTCATATGTTGCTTTTAATTGATAATATTGTAACCAATTTATTCCAAATGTTTGTAATTGTTCGTAAGTTTTTAATTTAATATTTACGTCTGCATCCTCTAATATTTCCCTATATGTTGGCCAAGTTTCTTTTACATTACTCTTTAATGTTGTAGTTGCTTCCACTGGCGAAACCCATTGGGGAGTTTTCTCAATAATTTTTCCTTTTGTTCTTTCCCAGACATCCAATAGAGCCTTTCTTACTATGTGATTTGTAAATTTTTTATGTTGATCTTTTTTGTCATAGAATAAATAGCCGTGCCAGCCGTATATTTTGTCCCAGCCCTCTAGTGTTAGGACTTCATTATCTTTTAATAATATCCATTTTTTTATCCAACACCAACACGCTGCCTCAAAATACTTTCTTAAATCTGGCACTGCGAATCCTCCACTTTCCTTTGGGCCCGTCATTACTTCTAATTTTATCCTTGCTTTTCCGCCCTGCCATATAAAATTTGCAAGATCTCTTTGCCAGCTTATAAAATATTTAGTTCCTATTACAATTGGAATCATTTGGAATAAAAATAGAATTTTGGGAAGTATCATCATTTTAATCATAGATATTCTTCCTCCTAATGATAGTTTTAGTTTTCCCCATTTATCCATAATTCCTTTAATTTCTTTCCATTTATAATTATCTTTAAATAAATTTGTATTTTTATTTGTAATCCATATCCCTAAGTAGTTCACTTTATTTTCTATTTTTAGTCCTGTTGTTTCCTCTAATTCCTTTTTCCCTTTCTCGCCTATATTTTTAGTTATCAATTTCGATTTATCTTTGTTCAATTTGAATCCTGCTGCTTCGCCAAATTCTTTCATTCTTTCTAATGCTTTTTTATACTTTGTTTTGGTGTTTTGGTTGTAATGATCACATCGTCTGCAAATGCTCTTACTTTGTAACACTGTGTACCAAGACATATGCACTTTATTTCTATGTCCTTTCTCAGAGCTATTAATAGGGTTTCTAATATTGTTATAAATAGGAGTGGGGATAAAGGACATCCCTGTCGTGTCCCTCTCTCGATGTCGAATTCTTCTGTAATTTCGTTGTTTAGGATTAATTTGGCTCTTTGTTTTTTGTAGATTGCTTGAATTCCATTCATAAATCTTTTACCTAAATTTAAACTTTCACAGGTTTTGATCATAAATTTCCAAGAGACACTGTCAAATGCCTTTTCAGCGTCTACCAAAAGCATTGAAATTTATTTACTTGGGTTCATTTCGGCATATTCTATTAAGTCTATAATTATTCTAGTGTTGTCCTTTATTTGTCTGGCTGGCAAAAATCCTGCCTGATGTTTTTTAATTACCCTTTTTAGCAGAGTTTTCATTCTATTTGCAAGAACTCCAGTAAATATTTTATAGGCTATATTCAATAAAGATATTGGCCTGTAGTTTTTTATAGGTCTCATTTATTATTATGCTTAAATGTTCTAAAACAGTCCACAATCCTGCCTTAACTAAACATAATGTTATATGGGTTACTTGGAATCACCACTCTGCTGTGGTTCCAATGAAAAAATGACCTTTGGCTTCATTTTTTTTTCCGTTGGGGGCTGAATAAATTTAGAGTGCATTATTTCCATGTCAGTTACTTATGTGAGTAGACATACAAATAATTGCACTGCATGTTTACCTTGTTTAGAAGGCAAGTCCCCCTTGAATTCAGTGAGACTTATGCCCAGGTAAATGGGGATTGAAGCCATATTATTTATCCATTATTCCTTACATAAAATTAATTAGCTTCTTAATCGTATCCTGAATTATTTCCCTGTAGCTTGTCCTTTCTCAGCACTTGAATTATAACCTGTCTTGAACTGATTCAACATTTGTGGTGAGCATGGACATTAAGTAAGTGTATATCATTTTAACGGTTTTCCAAAACCAGTATTCTTATAAAATTAACTTAATCACTTAACATCTTTCTTTCTTTCTAATTCAGCATTAAACATATTAATTCATCACATTACATATTTAAGTCCTAAGCCTATCTGGTGTTTGCAAGCTTTTCCAATTAGTTTAACTTAACATATTTAACTAAATAGTCTTTAAATTTCGTCCATTCTTCCTGATACTCCTCCTCCTTCTGGTCACGGACTCTTCCAGTCAGGTCAGCTAGCTCCGAAAAATCCATCATCTTCATCTGCCAGTCTTCCACTGTTTTCCAGTTCTTGGCTAATAAAATTTGAGCAGCAGTTGTGGCATACACAAATAGTTTAGCATCTTTCTTCGGCAATTCCAAACCTGTTATTCCAGGAAGAAAGGCCTCTGGTTTATTTATAAATGTATATTTCAACATTTTTTTCCAATTCATTATAAATCTTTTCCCACAAGTCTTTCACCTTGGGGCAGGTCCACCACATATAATAGAAGGTACCTTCTTTTTCATTACATTTCCAACATAGGTTGTCACTATTATGATAAATCTTTGCTAATTTCACAGGAGTCAGATACCATCTATACATCATTTTCATTAAGTTTTCATTTTCATTTTCACTGTACATGCAGTGAACTTGACCCCTTTCTTCCACAATCTTTCCCAATCCTCAAACATTATGTTATGTCCTACATCTCTTGCCCAATCTATCATCACTGATTTAACTTGTTCATCCTTTGTATGCCACTCCAACAATAAGTTACACATTTTAGACAAACTTTGGAATCCAGCGGCTTCGTCTCCAACTTAGATTTTTCAGAACCAAAACCATTTTTCTTATCTAATTTGTATAATTCATTAATCTGGTGATAATATAGCCAATTTAACTTATTTAAACTTGATCAAATGGTTTTAGTTTGTATCCTTCTTTATCCTCCAATAATAAATCTGAATATATCAACCATTTGATATCCATGTTTAACTTTTGCTGGGCCTTCGCCTCCATTGGTGAGAGCCATCTGGGTGTCTTCCTTTCTAAAAGATCTTTATATTTTATCCATACATTGTACAAAGATTTCCTAATTACATGATTTTTAAATGCATTATGGGCCTTTACTTTATCATACCATAAATATGCATGCCATCCAAACACATTATCAAATCCCTCTAAATCTAAAACATCAGTATCTTCCAGTTGTACTTTGGTACATTATTTTAGACAAGAGCCTAGGTTCAAATTTACAGCATGTTAGCATCCCACATTAATAGTTAAAGGTGTGTTTCCATCAGCTGTCTTGCATCATTTCTAACACTGAAGGGGTGGTTCGATTTTCTACTCTCTTGTGTACGAAAGGAAAGTGTGATGGGATGAGGAGCTGCTTGTGCGTAAAATAGTATCCCCTCAGAGTTTGTTCAAGTCCACAAACCTCTGTCTGTGACGGAGCCCCTCAGACATGGCTCCTCTAGTCACTAGCAGATTCCGACAGTGGTTGCTTTCGGAATCGCTTCCAACATAAAAGCTCCTTAACGGAAACACGTCTTCTGGACTCTCTGCGTGACAGTTTCCGGCGAGGAGTGGGTGTTCCTACAGGAGGTCCTGAAACCTCCCCACTGTTTTCGCTGGAAGTGTCTCTGAGCCATCCCTCCAGCTCACTTTCCCTCAGCTCAGCTCCTCTCCCCTACTGGTTCCCTCTTCAGCTGCTGAGTCTCTCCCAACCTGTGTGAGCCCTTTCACCTCCCTTCCTTCCGATGGCAGTTCCCTGACATCCACCTCCCCTCCAGGGCCCCTTTCACCCCCTCTCGCCCCCTCCTCTACGGGCGGTGAGGAGGCAAAACCCCGGCATGAACTTCCTTCATCTTCCGATGTCTCGAACACTTCTCTCCACCTGTTGCGGTTCCTGGTCTCGAAGTACTCCTCCTCCTCAGAGTCCATCTCCCCTTCCCCTTCCGAGTCCGGGAATCCTCCCAACTCCTCCTCCTCATCAGTGGTCCCAAAGTATTCCCTCCGGAACCTCTCCACAGGCTGAGGTTTCCTTGGGAACCTTTGATGGAACGTTTCTATCAATACCTCGTCATTGATATCTTCGGCCATTACCCAAGTGTTTTCTGACTCCGGTTCTCCTTCCCACGCTACCAAATACTCCACCTGATCCCCCTTCCACCTGGCGTCGAGGATTTCTGCCATATGGCTGCTGCATTCTCTTTCTTCTATGACCGGTCCCCGAGTGGCCATCCCTTCTCGTCCCCCTTCGTACGGTGACAGTAACGACCTGTGAAATACTGGGTGCAGTTTCATGTGGTTGGGTAACCGGAGCCTGAAAGCCACTGGGTTGACCTGTTGAATGACCTCAAAGGGACCCAACCTCCTGGGTCTTAATTTCTTACAACCTCCTTTGATCGGCAACCCTTGGGTTGACAGCCACACCCTATCTCCCACCCTTATGGTTTCACCTTCCCTTCGGTTCTTGTCTGCCTGCCTCTTGTATTCTTCCTTCGCCCTTTCTAAGTTGAGTTGGAGCTGACGATGGATTGCTTCCATTTCTTCCACAAAATGCTCGGCTGCCGGGACGCTCCATCTCTCCCCATCTCCCCTGGGAAAGCCCTGGGATGACACCCATAATTAGCCAAGAAGGGCTCATCCCTGTGGACACATTCTCGGCATTGTTGTAGGCAAATTCCGCCAGCGCCAACTTTTCTACCCAGTCATTCTCTCTGTCATTGACATAACACCTCAGGTATTGCTGGAAGACACCGTTTGCTCTTTCCGCCTGCCCGTTGGTTTCAGGGTGCCGGGCAGTTGAAAAATTGACCTCCACCTGCAGTAAGCTCATGAGCTTCCTCCAGAACCTGGAAGTAAATTGTTTTCCTCGGTCTGAGACCACCCTCAATGGCACCCCGTGCAACCTAAAAATGTGTTCTACAAATAACCCGCTGTCTCTTCCGCCGTGACTGCATGCGAGCAAGCTACAAAGTGGCACATCTTTGTTAGTAGGTCTACCACCACCATGATGGCTGTTTTCCCTTTGGACTTCGGCAGATCAGTCATAAAATCTATCGACACTGCCTCCCAAGGTCGTTCTGGGGTTGGTAAGGGTTCTAATAGCCCCGCCGGCGCCCGCCTTTCCCCTTTGGCTCGCTGGCATTGCTCGCACCCTCTTACATACTCACGTACATCTTCCCTCACCTTAGGCCACCAAAATTCCCTGGTGACCAACCACATGGTTTTGTGTTGTCCAAAATGCCCCGCCGTAGGGCTGTCGTGCAACTGCTTGAGTACCCTCCCCTTAAGTCTCCTTCAGGGATATACAGTGCCCCTTTGTAATACAAAGCTCCATTTCTTTCCTTGAAACCCCCTGGTTCCTCTCCCTCACCCCTAAGACCTCTGAGCTTATTCTGGGCGTATTCATCATTCTCTGTTTCCTCTACCAGTTCTCTTTGTCCCACCAATGCCGCCCCACACACCCAGCGGTCCTCTGGAATGACATGTCTCTCTTCGGGTGCTCCCTTCCCCTCCAAATATTCAGGTTTGCGTGAGAGAGCGTCCGCCCTAATGTTCTCTGGGCCTGGCACGTAACCAATCTCAAAGTTAAATTTGGAGAACTCCTGGGCCCATCTCACTTGCCGTTGGTTGAGCACTCGTGCCGTCCTCCAATACTCTAGGTTCTTGTGGTCAGTGCACACTTGCACCTTATGTTGTGCGCCAATTAGCAGGTGCCTCCATCTCCGGAACGCCTCATGAATGGCTAGTAGTTCTCGGTCATACACCGTGTAGTTCCTCTCGGATTTGTTCAGCTTTCGCGAAAAAAGCACCACGGTCTCCACTCTGACTCCTCCTTCCCTGGCTGCAGAAGCACCGCCCCAATCGCTCTGTCTGATGCGTCAGTTTCCACTCTCATCGGTTTTTGTAAATCCACATGCAGGAGTTGTTGTTCCGAGGCGAAGGCCCTTTTTAGTTCCTCAAATGCTCGCTCCGCCTCCTCAGTCCAAACGAACTTCTTCTTACTGCTGAGACAGTCCGTAATGGGCGCCGTCAGTTGGGCAAAGTTTCGGATGAACTTACGATAGAAGTTCCCAAATCCTAGGAACCTCTGCACATCCTTCCTTGTTTTGGGTGTTTTCCATTCCAGCACCGCCTGGACCTTGCCGGGATCCATGGCCAATCCCTTGTCTGACAGGCGATACCCCAGGAATTCCACCTCCTTGGTATGAAACTGACACTTCTCCAGTTTCACCCACAGCTGGTTGGCTTCCAGCCTGCTCAACACTTCTCTGACGTCTTTCACATGCTGCTCCTCATTCTCAGAATACACCAACACGTCGTCTAAGAAGGCCACACAATTCTTGTAAAGCAAAGGCCCCAGGACGTGGTTCATAAACGATTGAAAGGTTGCGGAGCCTGCTTGTAGGCCGAAGGGCATAACCAAATATTCAAATGCCCCTAAAGGGGTGAACATGGTGGTTTTCCATTCATCCCCCTTCCTTATTCGTATCAGGTTGTACGCCCCCCTTAGGTCCAGCTTTGTGAAAATCTTTCCCTTCCGCACCCTTGTCAAAATGTCGTCAATCCTGGGCATAGGGAAGGCCACTGGTTCTGACACTGCATTTAAGGCCCTGAAGTCACACACCAGCCTCGGCTTGTTCGTGTTTTTCTTATCCACAAAAACACTGGGCTGCCCCCACCGCCCTGGACTCTCTGATGAACCCTCTCTTCAGGTTCTTGTCAATGAACTCTCTTAGCTCCTGCATCTCTCTGTCTGACATGGCGTACAGCTTGCCTACAGGGAGCTGTGCCCCAGGGAGTAAATTGATTTGACAGTCAAAGGGTCTATGCGGGGGTAGTTGGTCAGCTTCCCTTTCGCTGAAGACGTCGCGGAGATCTGCGTATTGTCGTGGTACCTTCACGTTCTCCGTTACTTCAGTCCCTGCTAGGGTGGCTTGGGCCCCTGCCAAACCCTTTCCCTCTTTGCAGTGTTCTAAGCAATGTGCTGAACCAAAAGAAACCACTCTCTGATGCCAGCCCACCAGCGGATCATGTAACGCTAGCCAGCTCATCCCCAATATAATGGGAGCTCCTCCCAATGTGGCCACATTAAAAGCTATCAGTTCGGTGTGCCTTGCCACCTTCATTATCATTGGGACGGTCTGCAAGCTGACTTCTCCTCCCAACAGCTCCCTGCCATCGATCGTGGTCACCTGCAGGGGGTTGCTTAAAGGGATCGTCTGTATCTGGTGTTCAGCTGCAAACTCTTTGCTCATGAAATTGCAGGAGCTGCCTGAGTCCAACAGCGCCTTTATCTTTAGAGGGTGTCCGTTTGGCAGCTCTAGCGCCACTTCTATCACTAGGGCGGGTTTAGGAGGTTCTGGCGTGGGCACTCTCACTGCTCTTTGGCCTGGCTGCTGTGCCCGACGGTGGCAGCCAGGCGTTGGCTTTACTTGCTCCGGTATTTCTTCCTCTCTTCCCTCCACAGCTCCTACCATCCCTTGCCATTCCTTCCTCTGGGGGCAGACTCTGGCAAAGTGACCTGGCTGTTGGCAGAGATAGCATTTCCGGGCGCGTTTTCCCTCCTTCTTTCCCCCCCCTCACTGGGCTTTGAAACTGCGCGCGCGCGCGCTGTTCCGATTTCCATCGGCTCTGCCGGCGGGAAAGTTGGCTCTGGAATGTCTGGAATGCGGAACTCCTTCCAACGTTCCCCCTTCCCTTCCCGCCTCTCCAATGCTCTCGCCTCCTGGCGCGCTCCTATGGTCAGCGCTGATTTGGTCAGCTGGTCCATAGACTCCGCCCTGGGCGCCCGGGAAAGTTCGTCTTTCACAGCCGAAGAAAGCCCTTCTTCAAAGAGCATTTGAATGGGTTCCGCCGATAAGTCCCACCCCAATCTGTGAACCAGCATGGTGAACTCAGTCCAGTACTCACGGACAGATCGGCTCCCCTGTTTGCAAGCCATTAACTGTCTGCGCACCACTCCCTGTTCAATATCGCTGGAAAACATCAGATCCATGGCGCGAAAGAACTTCATCGTGTCCTTTAGGACGTCACTATTCGCTGCCATCAGGGGTCTAACCCAGTCTCTCGCCCCCTTTTCAAGATGCCCAATCACGAAAGCCACTCGTGATTCCTCGTCAGGGAATTCATCAAACTGCAGATTGAGGGCATATTGCATCTCTGTCCGAAAGCCATGATAGTCTTTGGGCTCCCCCCCAAACTTCTGCACCAATCCTGGTACCTTTCTGGCGAGCTGGTTGGCTTTCCCCTTTTTGTCTGCATCCTGAGCCCTCCTCTCCTCAAGCCTCGCCGTCTGCAGCGCTAGCTGGACCTCCAACACCCGGTACCTTTCTTCCAGGCTTGGACCCGCTCCAGCTCCTGCTTCTCCGGTTCCGGCTGGGTTGCTCATGATGCCTTCTCCTGCACAAGCTGCTTTCAAAGACTGTCGGAATGCTGTGATGGGATGAGGAGCTGCTTGTGCGTAAAATAGTATCCCCTCAGAGTTTGTTCAAGTCCACAAACCTCTGTCTGTGACGGAGCCCCTCAGACATGGCTCCTCTAGTCACTAGCAGATTCCGACAGTGGTTGCTTTCGGAATCGCTTCCAACATAAAAGCTCCTTAACGGAAACACGTCTTCTGGACTCTCTGCGTGACAGTTTCCGGCGAGGAGTGGGTGTTCCTACAGGAGGTCCTGAAACCTCCCCACTGTTTTCGCTGGAAGTGTCTCTGAGCCATCCCTCCAGCTCACTTTCCCTCAGCTCAGCTCCTCTCCCCCTACTGGTTCCCTCTTCAGCTGCTGAGTCTCTCCCAACCTGTGTGAGCCCTTTCACCTCCCTTCCTTCCGATGGCAGTTCCCTGACAGAAAGGAAAGGAAAGGAAAGGAAAAGAAAAGAAAGGAAAAGAAAAGAAAAGAAAAGAAAGAAAAGAAGGAGTTAGATGGAGAGATACAAGCATTGCGAACTGTTCACATGCTTGGGTCTCTGGATGTTTGCTTTGAGGTACCAGGAAGTTTAATGTATCCTAGGGATTATAAAGAGGTTGTGCTTCCTTGTTATTAGCTCTTACACCAACAACATTTTGAAATAAACAGATGCCTCATCTTGCAAATACTTCAGTTTCCTCCTTTTTCTCATTCAACATAAAATAGATAATAGTAACACATCATACTCAAGTTTGAGTTTAGTAGAGAGGAAAACAGGCATGAGGGAACTTCATTATGGCCCCTTGATTTTTTTTTTGATTTTTAGGAAATCAGCAGAGCTCTATTCATGTAAAACATGTGAAATACACAAACATTTGAGTTCAAATTCACTAGCTTGGAATTTATGACTTGACAATTTAAGATAATCAGTTACCATATTTTATGATTGATTGATTGATTGATTGATTGATTGGGTACATGTACTGCCTTTGTGCCAAGGCACCCAAGGTGGTTTGCAATTTTAAAATACTAAAACAAATATATGAAATAAAATTTATGGTTGACCCTGTGACAGGAGAGGGGAAAGTCCAACTGCGGGAAGCCCCTGATGTTGTCTGCTTGTCTCCCTTTTGCTCTTCTTTCCCCCCAAATTTAAATTTCATAGTGAACCATGGGTTTGGAGCCTTAGAACCTTATTTTTGCATCCAAAACTTCAGTTTCATGAATTTTTTGGTTGCTTGCAGATATTTGGGGAAAATGATTCTTGCAAATCTCCTGGTGAAAGCTTCAACACTTCAAATCATGTATATATTGCAGCCCATATAACTTCCCTGCTTGAAGCTGCCCTACATATCCTTGACAAGCTTAGAAGTGATCCCAGTTTTCTCTTTGTCTCTTCAGTATGCAGCTTGAAGCATACATTTGGGCTCTGCACATTAAGTTTTTTTAACATGCTGACATGTTTCGTTGCTCGATTTTTCCTAAGGTGCATTGACTCAGGTGTTCTTTGAAAAAGGGCTGCATTTCACTTACATACTTTACTGCCTGAGATCTGACCCACTACTAATTAAGCAGCATCTTTTGATTATCCATAACCATGATGCACTTAGTAATACAGCTGCAGACTGATGAATTCTAGTTAAATTCTACGTAGGTTGGGTTGTTAGATACAATGGCAGTCAAATTGCTACTATCAAGCAGCTTACATTTCTTACATTTCTTTCAGCTTTATTAGCTCCCTTCCGCTCTTCGCTGACTGAACTGCAGTCTTGAGATTGTTCTCGTATAAACAGATGACCTTGTTGCAAATCCCAAAGTGTATTGATTCATGGTTTGAAGTATCTGGGTTTGAAGCAGACAAAGCAGTCCATCTGAGAACAAATTACTATATTAAAAGGGGTAAATTTATTAGAAATAACACAGATGTTCTTTGGGCTTTTCCCTTTCCTTGAACTCGTTCAAAACATTCCAAACAGGTAGTCGTGAGACTTGAAGTTAACAGGGAACCAGGCAGAGGACCTCAGTAGTGTCACCCATCCTGTGGAATGTCCTGCCATCAGATGTCAAGGAGGTAAATAACTACAACTTTTAGAAGACATCTGAAGGCAGCCCTATGTAGGGAAGTTTTTCATGTTTTATTATGCTTTTATATTTGTTGGAAGCCGCCCAGTGTGGTTGGGGCAACCCAGTCAGATGTGCTGGTTATTTATTATTAGTATTATTAGTCTGGTATAGCAAGAACATTTTAAAAATGAAGGTTTGCTATGGCATTAATGATTGTGGACTAGAGCGCACTTAATCAGATTTGAAGTGATTTTGAGAACTTGTAACTTGGTCCATATGTATGTGGAGTTTTTGTAAAAGGCGAAAAATTTATACGATCTGAAGAGAAACCAGAGTATCAAGTTTTTGGATAAGTGACACAACACTGGCTGTTTAGCTGACTATTCAGTTCAATTTGTTTCTGGGCAGGTTCAATGATGCCTCAAAGCAAGTGTGATCCCACACTTTCCAGTCACTTTCTTAATTGCAAAAATCCTTTTGGGGAAATGGCTAGTTATGCAAGGCCTCTCAATCAACAATAATTGCACAGCCTGAATTTGCTGATATGTGACTGAATCCCACCCCAAAATAGCAGCAGTCTAGAAGCACCCTCAGCATGGATTTTTCCTATGAGTTGATTGCAGAAGTCACCCGGGGGGGGGGTGGAGAGAAAGCAGTCATCTGAATGATGTTTTCATCCAGTTAAATGGTTTTTCTTCTGGTACACAGTGGTATTTGGGAAATTAAATATAAACCAGACGCCCATGTTTCATTTTGGGTTTGAGAAACTTTTTCAGTCCAAGGGCTGTGCTTCCTTTTGGGGGGCCTCCCAGCAGCCACATGCCACTAGAGGGCAGGGCCAGAGGCTAAAGTGAGTGGAGCAATGTCTAGAAACGTTTACCTTTGTACAGCAGACTACTTTTTAAATGTTTGTACTCACACCTCCTGGCAAGCAAGGGTGGTTATCAGAGTTCAATTGAGCATTCTAGCCAGTGAGACTCAAGGAGGCCAGCAAGGAGAACCCAAGGACCAGATTGAAAAGCCTGGATGGCCCCTCACTCCTGCTGCGTATCAAAATACAGATTCTTTCCAACAATAGCTTGCCTTGGGTTGCTAAACTGCCATGCTTGGCTCTGAGTAAAATGAAATCATAGGGACACAGGTGGCACTGCGGTCTAAACCACTGAACCTCTTGGGCTTGCCGATCAGAATGTCAGTGGTTTGAATCCCCGCAACAGCAGTTCAAAAGCATGCCAGTGCAAGTAAATAAATAGGTACCGCTTCAGCGGGAAGGTAAACAGCGTTTCCGTGTGTTCTGGTTTCTATCACGGTGTTCCATTGCGCCAGAAGCGGTTTAGTCTTGCTGGCCACATGACCCAGAAAGCTTGTCTGTGGACTAATGCCGGCTCCCTCAGCCTGAAAGTATAATGAGCGCCGCAACCACATAGTTGCCTCTGACTGGACTTAGCCGTCCAGAGGTCCTTTACCTTTACCTAGCCAGTCTCCAGACCTTAATCCCATCAAAAATCTGTGGAGGGAGCTGAAGGTTCGAGTAGCTACACATCAGCCTCAAAATCTTACTGACTTGGAGAGGAACTGCAAAGAGCGAGTGGAACAAAATACCTCCTGAGATGTGTGCAAACCTGGTGGCCACCTACAAGAAACGTCTGACCTCTGTAATTGCCAACAAGGGTTTTGCCACCAAGTACTAAATAATCTTTTGCAAAGGGATCAAATACTTATTTCACTCATTATAATGCACATCAATCTCTGACTTTCACCTTCTGGGTTTCTGGGGGTTTTCCTGTTGTTATTCTGTCTCTCACAGCTACAATAAACCTACCATTAAAATTATGGACTGGTCATTTCTTCGTCAGAGGGCAAACGGGCAAATTTAGCAGGGGATCAAATACTTCCCCCACTCACTGTATAAAGATCTGGTTGACCCAAAAAGTTCCTTTTGTGAGATCAGTTGCAAATAATCGTTTACAGTTGAGTCAAGTAAATGCCTCTTGGAAGTGATTGCCATTTCTGGACCTCTTATGGTATTTTGGAGTTGATTTAATACAGTGTGACACATTCCAAAGGAAAGCAGAAATAGATATTCATTCCATAGGGCATGAGAGTATACTATACAGAATTTCAGGAGTTTCCCGCTTGATAATTTGCACAATAAGTTCTGAGATTAGGAAGTTTGGAGATTATCTTCACTTACCTGAGAGTAAGCTTTATTGAATTCAGTGCAACTTACTTCTTAGTAGACACACACAAGACTGCTGTGAAGTTCTCTTTTGTTATATGGCAAATAATAGAAATAAGGCTGTAATTTAACCAGTATGCTAATTTTAGACTAGATAATTTTTAATTATTAGGGCTGCAAGCTAAAGGCAGACTTGCTACCCCCTCCCTCTGGCTATTTCCGTTTTGGTTTCCTTAAAAGAAAATGAAAAATAAAATGCTGAAAATGACCTATCTTAACAATGTATTAAAGCTTTTGTCTATTAAATTGCATGTTAATCTCACACTTTTTTCAATATCTCAAGAAGACACTTATATTAGATTTTGAGAAGATGCACAATTATTTAAATTCAATTGATCTATCAGTTCAAAGACAGATGATTAATCAACAAGTTTTTTTTAATTTGTTGATAGCCTTTTTTTTTTAATTAAGGAAGTATTTGTTTGTTACTCTTCCAAAGAGTTCTATTGAAAGTTTCACAACAGTGTTAGGAGAAAGTGTCAATTTGCCTCAAATTGGACTACTAAAGACCAATCATTGTCCTACAGTCCCTGTCATTTAGGAACTTCCTGCATCCCCAGTGTTGTCAGAGTGGAATTTTAGAGTAGGAGGAAAGTGTTCAGCTGCTCTTTTACCTGTTGAAAGCATCTTTTGACAGACACGATGAGGCAGCTCCATTTGACTGTTGCCTCCTTAAGAATCAGATTCTTCAGCCCACACTTTGCTTGGCGTTGACTACTCCTTTATTGACTCTTTGTGCCTTTGAATTTTGCCTGGACTGTGCATTTTCTGTTAAGCACCAGCTGAAGACAAGCTCCTCAGTTGTGGCATTATAGAAAAGCCCACATAACCTCCCACACAGTGACTTCCTCAAAGAGAAAAACGGGGATGCCTTTTTCTTTGAAGAAGCACTTTTCAAACAAAAGGGATTTCCCTATGTGCTGATGGGACTACCCATCTTTTTTTTTTTTTGCCACACACGGGCAGCAATCATGCTGCTGTGTCCAGCTGAATTTGGAAAGCCTTCAGGGTGAGCAAATTTCAGGACTCTTCTCTATCTAAGCATCTATATATTTAAAAGCTTTCTTTGAGGAGGCAAATGCTACAAAGCTAATCTATGAAGCATATATTAATTATGCTCTTTGTTGTTGGGGAGAAAAGTAAAAAATGTACTGCAAGGGACCCTCCAGTTCACCTTTTCAGTGAGCATTCAACTTGATTTGCTTCCACCAAAATATCCCAGGAGTTGAGTATTCTTCGTTAAGGAATTCCCAATTCCTTACAATTATTACAATTTTCTGAGCGGAAAACAGGCTGTTAAGCCTATTTATATCTGTGGTATAGAGATGCCCGTATCATTTTTGTTCCATCCCAAGGTGGGTATGTTTTGTCGCTTACTAACTCTTGGTCAAATTAGACGCAATAGGTCAGCCATATGGCGTGCCCCCCCCATTTGACATGGTGTAGGAGAGAGTTCTGTAATTTTTACTCAACAGGGAGGGAGAATTAAACCCTATGCCTGTCTCATCTTCCTTGGCTTGGCCCAATTATTTCAAGCAGTCCTGCACTACCATCCTTGCACAGTTCACTTCTAGTATCAGGGCTGGACTGGGAGAAAATTACTTGAAGCCACAGAGTACAGTGAGGTAAGAGGCTATAGTCTTGTTTCTCCCTTACCCACATGTGTCACTGGCTGTAAACATGTAAAAACAACAGCGCAGATGTGATTTTGGCATGGTTTCACCCATTTGTTGGCATATGTTTAGACACCGCTCAAATTATCATTGTCAAACTCAGCACAATGCTTCCTGAGTTGAAGGCAACAGCCTTCACGGATGTTTGGATGGTGGGCATCATTTTGACTCAAGATGGCGGACCAAAATGTGACGGTGTGATGGATCCAAACTCACAATTTAGAATATTAATTTTAAAATCTCAATTTTTCATTTCTAAAAATTCCCAGGCAGCACTCCCCACTTGTGCTTAATAAATGGTGGTGGTGGTGATTATCCCAGGGGCATAGATTCTAAAATCTAGACAAAATAAAGAGTTAATCTGAACACTTTCTGCCCACCACAGAAACCCTTGTTATGACTTTTGCCCTAACTCCCCACTTCCTTCCTCCAGTTTGGAAACAGGGAATGACATGAATAAAACCCATCATAATTAGCACTGGCACGCATAACTGCTGAATCTCCAACTTGGCTTTGGGGTGGGAAGAAAACCAAACGGCTGAAGTTGTGAGAGTCCCTTTTCCTTGGAGTTGCTCTTCCTCCATCTGTAACTCTCCCTTGCGAGTTTTCTCCTCAAACCATCAATACAACAGCAGGGCAATATTACCTCATCAGTCATGATTTACTTAATGTTTTCTGAATTTAGTAATTTTTGATTAAAATTTAATGCGAACATATCATATCATACGCCACATATATTATTGCAGCCATTAATCAAGTAACCTTATTAATGAAATGTCGGAAGGCTGGGTGAAAAAGCAGCTGAAAGCTTGATATATGTTTGGCACAGTTCTGTGAGTGATTACTGGGGGCGGGGGGAGTGCATTGAAACCGATTGTACCAAGCTTCATTAATATACATTTACCATCTTCTGTGTATTGTATCATCAGATATTTTAACCTTAGTTAAGTCTGATCCTTAATTTGCTGAAAGACACTAAATATTAATAATATTGAAAAATACGAAATATACGGTTAGCTCACATAATGCCAAAATGATTCATGCCACATCTTAATGCCTCTGTAGCAAAATACGTACCAGGAAGGTTGTCAGAGTTAATGGATCATTTTTTGTATATATGTGTGTGTGTTTTGTTTTAGGTGGAATAACAAATGTTTTATGCATGCCTCTCTAAACCTCAAATTAAAACAAATGAACACGCTATTTTTACTTTCTTTTAAAAGGGGGCCAACACAGCATGACTGGATTCATCAAAACAAATACACATTATAAGAAATGCAGAACCACCACCAACAAAGCAATCTCAGAGCCACCCTCACAATCCTTCCTATATATGTAGTTTCAAGACAAGGTTGTGTCCTGTTGTCATTGCACTGCATGTTTTCCTGTCTGTGGCTTTACATGGGCTGGCAAGGGTGGGTGGAGAAATGAAACTTATGGTACTCAGTGACGTCAGGGCATGGGGTAGTTCGTGCTACATGTTATCAAGGTTTGGGGAAGAGGAGAACTCAGCACTAATGCTCTTACCATGTGTAGTTGCTGGAATATTACTCAGGGTGGAACACAATACTCAGCTAGATGGACCACCCCCACCCCCCAGAGCGAAGCTTCCATTTTGGTGTAAATAGTAGTTTTCCTCCTCAGATAATAGCAAATTAACAGAGAGGGAGTCACATCAGAACTACAGCATGTGGCCTTGATCCTGACTGTTCCAATTCCCCACTCCCCTTTTTATAACTGCTGTTTTAAAATGTAAAAACAATTACATATGTTGATACAGGCTCAGTTTGTTGATATAATCTTGGGTGGTGGTGTAGCGTTCAACTTTATTGCACAAACTTTGTGGCTTACTCTGTCAAAAAGTATCAAGAAACTTTGAATCCTGTAGGATTAGTCTTTTCAAGTGTCAGTGCCGAAAACATTAGCAATAGTATTTATTATTATTTTATTAAATTTATTAGCTGCTTGCAAGTCTCTGAATGACTTACATAAAGCACAATATAAAATCAGAAACAAAACCAATATATGCCTATCCAGTCAGACATAAAGTGCACCGCATTCAAAGGTTAGCTCATAATAACTATTACACCTGTTACCATTCATAATTACTGTCCTTTTGGAATTACTGTAGCTTTATTTGACTTTGCAGCAATACTTGGAGCTAACTAACTCCTCAACACAGTTGCTTTTTGTAAATATAGGTGAGTTCATTTTGCCACTTGGTAACTTGAAGGGAATATAATTCATATTTTATTTCTTGTTGGCCGACATGTCTGTTCAGAAGTAAGCTCTGCTGAGTTCAACAGGAGTTGCTTTCAGGTGGATCTCAGATTGGCAGCTGAAAGTTAACGTGACCCATAAAAGAACAAAATATTTGTGTTGTTTAATTCCCAAGGTTTATGTCTTAGTTCACTGCAAACTGCAAAAGAATGAAAGGCACGTTGTGCTTTGGATGCGTATCAAGTCTCCTTATTATAATACCTGAAAATTTGTACAGCAAAGGAATCTTTCCTGCTAGACATATCTTTTGCCAGGCTGCTGTTACAAAGGTCTGTGGGAGGTGAGTAAGAACACCAAAGCCTCTTCAATTGTTATCAAATAGCTGTTCATAGAAATATCTTCCCCGAGTTTGCTGCACACAAAGCACATCCCACACATTATCATTATTCATTCTTTTGGCTGAAGAGGCTTGTTTTTCCACAGATGGGCTCTTCCTGTTTGGCATTCGTAACCATGGACTGCTGTTCGGTTGAAGAAAACACGTCATCTGTCTATGAACCGAGACTTTCAGCTGATTCATGAACGCCTTTTTTTAAGTGTAGCAGAAAGTGGCGGTGGTAGTGAGGGCAAGAACCACCATCAAGAATGATGTAGAAGTTCAGATGTCTTCCCTACCTGCATCCCATACAGTGCATGCAAGGAAGAATCCAAATATGGTTTGATGCCTGCCCATCAGAGGTGGTTTCAGGGTAGAGCAACCGGTTCAGCCGCCCTGGGCACTGCACACGAGGGGGCACCACAGCAACGCTGTAGAACAGAGTATGAGAGGCGGGGGGTGAATTTTAGTGTCACACAGGGCACTGCTGAAATTTGAGAGCCTGAATTCTGCCACTGCTGCCCATCCTTAAATAAAATTAATAGAACAAGCAGCCAGCAGCTATTCCTACATAAAGGAAGTGTGTGTATATGGATGTTTTATCTTGCTTTTTAATAGTTAACAAAAGTCTGCTGTACCCAAGAGAACTCCGCTAAATTTTCTCGTTAAAAGGGAAGCAGGGGAATAGAAAGAAGTGACTCAGGAACGAAGTCATCAGTAAAACATTTGTGGCATTGTCCTGAATTTTGAAGAATAGTAGCTAAAGCAGCTTTCATGTAGTCCCGTAGGAGCCAATTCGTAGGGGCTTAGGTCCCTTTGGGGGCCCCATAAAATATTTGAGGGGGCTGCCCCCCAAGTTGATAGGCATTGCCATTCAAATGATGTGCACACACCACATTTTGTGACTGATTATTCGGGGCAGAGCTTACCTGCCCCCCCAAATATTTTATTCAAGTTGGCACTCCTGTGTATTCATAATAATGAAAGAATGTTCTGCATCAGAACACAGTTGCCCTTTTGTGAAATTCAATAGAATCTGTGCATTTCCTGCTGCTCTGTATCATGCTTTTTCTTCAGCCATCAGCTAGTCTGCAATGATATAAGAGCTTCATCATCTGTATGGACAAAGCCTTAAGTATGTGCTCTGAATGTTCAACGTGGAGCACAGATGATTGCATTAGTCAACGTAGATTTATTTTTAAACTTGCAATTACTACTCCAATTTCATGTCTTTGAGAAGCTCAGAGCTACTTGAACTCAGGG